CCCAGTAGCTTCTTGCTCCTAGTAGTAAGGCCAGGAGCCTCTAGGAGAAAACTGTCAGGATTCTCAAGCAGGTAAGTGACTCTGTGAGGCTGTTCTGAGCTTAACCACATGCCACTGCCGATCATGCACGGACAGGTACGTTTAGTCTGGTCTTCGTTGGCCAGGGCAGACAGACGTGAGTTGCTGGTTTCATGTGCTTGAAAAAGCTCTCGCATCTGCATGACAACATGAAAGCTGTGCAAATGACTCAAACTCAATGAACCTGTTACTGCTTCTTAAAGCCGCACACACAGCGTGCACGCACGGGCATGCGCTTGTCATTCCTGTGACACCCCAACCTGCAGTGAGACTGCTTGCATCTAAGCGAGCCCATCGTACACCGGCCTCTCCCACAAGAATGAACCACGTTCAATGCGCAAAAAGTTCAACCAACCCAACAGGCTGATACTAGGTTGGAGGCCATCGCTACTAGAAACAAAAAGGTAAGGCAATACTCAACTGTAGCACTGAATGAAAGCGACAATGCCAGGCCTCCTGGCCGAGCCGCAAAAGTGCGGCCTCACTTCAAAAGAGCAGCCGCAACAGAATGAAAGCCGGGCCACACTTTGGTCACCTTGATTAAACTACTTGTTTGCAACAATGCCTTATTCTTCACATCTCTTCACATCGTAGAGGACGCTACTGGGAGCAAAGGGCATCGCTACTAGGAACAAGGACGCTACTAGGAGCTTTTTCAGCAATGCCCATTTGGGCTCCCGTAAGGTCTTGACATCACCAACGGAAGCACAGTCGCTGGCGAGCTTCAGCTCCAGCAGATTCTGCGGTTCGCACCAGATTTGTGTAAGGTGGAAAGGGATGCCTTTTAGACCATAAAGTTTTTTTTGTTTCTAGATTTTTAGGGAAATTTAGAAATGGCCTCCAACCTGATAGCAATGGCCTCCAACCTAATACTAATAACTATTAAATAGCAATGGCCTCCTTTTAGAAGCAAAGGGCAAAGAATGCATTTCGGCTACTTTGAAACACCTAAATTAGGTGTTTCAAAGTAGCCTAATTGAAATGTTCGGTTTCGCAAGGGCCGTTTAATGTTGCTCTACTCTTCTGTCCTCGCAGTTCGCACCACAATAAAACTGCACATCCTAAGAAAAGAAGAGCAAATCCATGCATGGACATCCTCATCCTCATCTTTCTGTCAAGATCAAGAGGTCTTAGATCTTCGACCCTCTAGATCCCTTCACTATCTTACTAGCACTTGAGAATTGGCACAAAAGCAAGAAGTAGCAGCGTAGCAGTTGAGTCTGGATTGAAAGGCGTTCCCTGATCGTAGAAAAATCGAGCAAACCCGAGACACGGAGGGGCAGTGAACCCGTTTGCAAAAAATGCTCAATCTGAGCTCCCCAAGGAGCCCCCTTATGAATTAGCAACAGCGTAATCTTTTCTGACAACCTCGAGAAACCAAGTGCACAACGAGTAGCTTGATTCCTTCGCGGCAGCACCGCAGCTGTGAGATTCCATACAGCTGCGTGCGCACAGCATAGCCTAAGAGGACTAAGAGGAAAAAAAAAACTGTTTTGTTTTGCATTCAATGAGTGTTGTCTCTTTGAATTGGCAGGGGGACAACCAGCGTTCTTCAAACAAGTTTTTCCCATGATCGGGGTAGTAAGTGTAGTCAACATGTCCACGCGTTCTGCTCGGGGCACAGTCCACCTCATGCTAGCACATGCCTAACTCAACGCCACCTTGCACCCGCCTCTTCGACTAACGCAGATGCCAAAAGGCAAGTTGCACAAGACGTATCAGGGGGTTCTGTAACTGCATCTCCCTTCACTACGCAATGCATTTATGTGCGTACTCGAGGAGCATGAAAAGGAGTGAGGGGTGCACATTAGACAATCAAAAATAACGATCAGTTTTATGCATGACCGGTCCTTCTAAGTGGTGTGCACTAGTCGCAACACTCCACTTGGAGGCCATCGCTTCTAGGTTGGAGGCCATTCCTGATGAGCTGGAGCACTTGTATTGTTGCTTGAACAACTTTTAAGACTTCTTGCCCACTTCGTCAGTGCCGAGGGAGCTTGACCAAGCAGAATGTTCCAAACGTTTAGATGTTCTCAATTGATGTGTTTGAACTCATTTGCAACCGATGCTGAGGAAGACAGTGTTCCAGAGTCTTCTGTGTGGTTTCCTCCTTCCGCTTTAGGTGCTTCTAAGATCTGATTGAGGTTGTGCTCTGCAGAGCAAAAACACAAACAGCAAGGTGTGAGCACAAACAGCAACATTGACTCACCAAAGCGCTCGGCATCCCATGATTGTGGTAGTTTTGTTGAGTGCGGTCACACAATCATTGATCATGTCACACTCCCCTGCCAAAACCAATAACTGGCGGATATAAACGCACACAAGGACACCAAATACAAGCCCAACCCGTCCCGCTAGTCAGTGGCCCGACGCCGGTGGCCCGACAACAGTGTCCCTCAATGGCTCCACTCGATAACGGACAGCAGACAATGACAATGGTGACACCAAACATCACGACAGTCACGACACACATAATACTGTAGTTTCTTGTTCCTAGTAGTAAGGCAGTAGTAAGGCCGGGAGCTACTAGTAGCGTCCGATCGCTCCTAGTAGCGATGCCCTTTGCTACTAGTAGTGATGCCCTTAGTAGCTTCTTGGGAAAGACGTGACAAGAGAAAACATCTCTGTTCCTTTAGGGTTTAGGCCGGTTAGAGAGGTAAGCTAGTAGCTGACAAGTAGCTGTCGTAGCAAGAAAGCTACTGGACAGGGGTCGCTTGAAGAACCCTTCGCATTGATTTGGTTCGATGTTTAGCAAACCTTTTAGAAAAAACAATAAGCTACTAGGAACAAGTGCATCGCTTCTAGTAACAAGTGCCTTACTAGTAGTTACAAGAAGCAATTAGAAACAATAACTAATTGTATTTTGAGAGTATATTTCCTTGAGTTGATAGAAGCGATGGCCTCCAACCTAAGTTTACCTTTTAGACTCCTTTGCTGTTTGATCAACATGTTTTTCCTTCCTTTCTTGTTCTTTTCGCACCATGTCCCCCAATTGTCAAGGCCTTGGGCTGATGGGGCCATGTTTGATAGAGGCATTTAAACGTGCTTTTCTGTTCTGTGGTTGACTTGGTCAAAGTGTTTTGTCTTTATAGCTCAACGATTTTATCCCCACTGCACAGCATCGGTTCAGAAATGTCTGGTACAAGCAGCGAATCCCAGCTTGTTTTAGCTGCATAGCAGAACCATCGATGTTAGTGAAGAAATACACACGGCATTGAGTTCTAGCATGTTTTTCTCTTGTGGACGTGAAACCAGGTAAAACAAAACAATGACACACTGTCAAAGCACGAGTCTCAACATTAGTATTGTCGTTCTCAAAATGGTAAAGCAACATCTTCCAGGCAAATTCCAATGGCACGCGCAAATTTGTGTTCACGTAGCTTTTGGAGGCGCACATATGCTGCTCACACGCAGGGTTGGATTGACTTTCTTGATATGCATCGGCGTAGCAAAAGTACTAGTATTAGTCCTGCCGTCAAGAAATTCAGCATTCAACTTTGCATTTGTTGTCACCCTGAGTAATCACAACACTGCACAACGGCATGAATTGGCTCTGTGCAACCTGCATGATAACCATTATTATGCAAACCATTGTCTTCAACCCCCAATGTGGTTCCCAAGTGGTCGCAAATCCCACTAATAGCGTCCTTGTTACCTGTAGTAAGGCCAGGAGCCCCAATTAGTAGCGTCCTTGCTCCCAGTAGTACGGCCAGGAGCCCCTAGTAGCGTCCTTGTTCCTGTTTGCATAAATATCCCACACAAGAAGCTGCTCTCTCGTGCTTATGACACCATCTAAGCGCTCCGACAGACATGTGAAAGCGAGCCAGAAGGCCTCACACTGCAAGGTTTAGGAGTTGACATGTGAGAAGAAACACCAAGCAAATGTGGAAGATTGTGAAAGCCTGGAAACCAACCTAGGAGCAAGGACGCTACTAGGGGCTCCTGGCCTTACTACCGGGAACAAGAAGCTACTAGGGGCTCCTGGCATTGCTGCTAGGAGCAAGAAAGCTACTAGTTGGCGATGGCCTCCAACATACTAGCGATGCCCTAAAGAAATCTGAAAGCTCTTGGCACCTTCTTTGGGCCTCTGCTGGGCGACATGACCGCACATGGCTTCTTGTCCCCTTGCAGCTTTGCAAGTGGACTTGAGCCGTTCAGGGATGCAATTTCATGGCAAATACCAAGCAAAAGTCTGAAGAAAGAATACATACAATTATGAAAAGGGAAGGTGAGGTCAGATTAGAGGTGGCTTATCTTCTTGTTTTTATCACTGTCTTTCTCTGTCGTATCTGTCTTGATCTTTCTTTTGCACACTCCGCACTCAATTTGGGGCTGTGAAGTGGCTCCTAGTAGTAAGGCCAGGAGCCCCTAGTAGCTTCTTGCTCCTAGTAGTAAGGCCAGGAGCCCCTAGTAGCTTCTTGCTCCTAGTAGTATGTCGTTCTCTTGTTATTCTCTCATTCTTTTTCTTAGACCTTCTTGCGAGGCCATCGCTATGAGGTGGAGGCAATCGCTTTTGGGTTGGAGGCCATCGCTGCTAGGTCGTTCCTTTTTTAGACCTTCTTGTATTTCTTCCTTCCTTCTTTCCTTCCTTCTCGCCTTCACATTTGCTCGCCACAGGTCTTCGACTCAAGAAAGGCAACTTCGGCAGAAGAGGGTCCTTTGCCAAGGCCTTTAAAGGTGTTTTTGCAAAAGCCGGATCAAAGGACCCAACTTTGCTTTTTGTTCAGAACGCTTAAGGCTTCTTTGATAAGGGCCCTTACGGCTTTCCTAGTATAGGATCTAAATCTATATGGAATCATACTTCCTTGAAGCTTCCTAGTGGATCCTAGTGCGGCGCTTGCCATACTTGTTGCGAAAGCATCAAGACACGCGATGAGATCTTCCAGATCTGGATAGTGTGGCGCCCATTTGACTTCCTGTTCTGCACATTTCTTGTTGCCTTTGTACACAGCCCCCGGTGCGGTGTTCACAGCGCGGGGGAGTTGTCAAGAAGCAAAGGGAGGACAAGCAGGTCTTATTTCAGAATTCACGCCAGCTTTAATTCCTGCTTCTTCCCACAGGATTGAATCAATAAATATTGCTCAGAAATAGTATCGATTAGTCCTCGCTCTTCACCTCTAAAACAACCTTCATGGCCTTGCAAAGCATCTCATGCAATCTCAAATTTTGCATTTGTAAAAGCATTAAGCACATTAAGCATTTTGCATCTGTCATGTTTCCGCCCAAATTAGCCTCACACAGCTCAGCATCGTGCTTCCTTCAAAGTCGTGAACCGCAATTCCATCTGTTCATTTGCAAGTCCACTAGTCGCTAGCTTGCTGGCTATTTGTGCAATGAAGGGTTGAATGTTCGCAAAGTCTTTGCCTGTCTGACCCGTGCTTGAAAGCTTGCCTTCGGGGCCCACCAGTTTTCGCAAGCCCATCAAATTGAACGAAAGTTGGCGACAAAGAGAGTTGGCCATGTTGGAGCTGACGAACCATGGCCGAGGTGAATAAGCACAGCCAGCAAACTGGATGGATTAGACTTGAAGTCGGTCTCATCTTGGGTGGATTCGCCCAGCTTGTCCTTCAAGTTGCTCAGCTTGGTAGTAGCGATGCACCTTGCTACTAGTAGCTTCTTGCTACTAGTAGCAATGGCCTCCAACCTAGTAGCTTCTTGCTACTAGTAGCTGTGGTTCCAAGGTGCTCAGCTTGACTTCTTGACTTCTTCGTCTAATCCTTAGCGTTCTTCGAGTTGGTCTCTTTTTCTTCGCTCGTGACCTGCATCTAGTAGTTTCTCGTGTCCTTCTCCTATTTCTCCCGTGCTTCCTGTGCAGCTTTCTGCAGCATTGCATCTTGCACCTTCTTCTGGACATCCCCAGACAGGAAGTGTAGCCGCTTCTGCATCTCAGAGACGGCCTGCCAAACTCTTCTGTTTGTCGCAGAACGAATTGGAGGCGTTTTTAGGGTAGGCCGGTAGGCTAGTAGCCTGTGGCACTGCCTGTGGCTTTCTCAAGTAGATAATGGCTTAAGCAAGGAAGCTACTATGCTGGGCACAGAAAATCAAGTTCAAGGGGGTCGTCCTTGAAGGAACTTCGGAAGAACCCTTCGAATGAATCGTTGGTTCTTTTTGACATCCCAATGTCTTAGGGAAGCTTTAAATCCTAGTAGCAAGGACGCTATGCTCGGTGGAGGCCATCGCAAGTAGATTGGAGGCCATCGCTACTAGGAACGAGAAGCTACTAGGGGCTCTTGGCCTTTACTACTAGGAGGACGCTACTAGGGGCTCATGGCATCGCTACTAGTAGCAATGTTCGCTAGGGTGGTTGGATTCGTTCACTCTTCCTCGCAGGATATGCCATGCGAAACAGGCCTCATTGGACTCTTTCAGGACGGTCTTCACTTCACGCTTCAGCTGCAGCACTTGTTGTGAGCTCTCTGAGCATTGACGAACAACTCCTCTCATTTCTTCCAGATCTTTGATACGAACTTGCCGTTCCGAATAATCCTCATCATCAGAGTCGAGCGAAAGGGCTCGATTGATGGGGAAGAAGGAGTAATCCTGCCTGGAAATCCGGTCTTTCACGTAGGACTCAGGGCCATTCAAGTCAGAGTCCTTCGCTTGCTTTAAATACATCAAGAACCGAGCATAACTCCACATGTAGTGCTCCTGGAAGACATGGTGCTCGAATTTGACCATCTGGCGCTCCATGGTTGAACGGTTGATCCCACATATGAAACAGTTGTTCTGTTGGTCGTCGTTCTTCTCCTGTAGATCAGCACGCATATTTGCAAAGGTATCAATAATGATACCTGAGATAATCGCTGCCAGGATGAGAATCACCACCAAGTTGTACAAATAATCGAAGGCAAACTTCCACCAAGACAGTTCCGCGGTGGCCCAAACGGGCCCGGAGCGGAAACCATAGTCCAGATGAGCCAGCAAGCACTCCATCAAGGAGGAGCACTTCGAGGTATCCATGTCAGCGAAGCCGTAGCCCTTGGGAAAGGTGAGGAAACCCAAAACTAAGAAACAGTATTGGACACAAAATCCCAGCACGGCCGTGCCCACCACCTGATCTTTGGTGATCCACAAGGCTTCAAAGACTTTTCCCAAAGTCTCAACTTGTGCACAGGCATACATCAAATGGAGGGAATAGATCAGGAAGTCTACATGAAGCCCAAGAAAGCTTGTTCCAGCCAAAAAGAGCTTGCTGACCAAACCGGCATCCTGGAAGAAGAACCAAAGCATCAAAATTGCTCCAAAGATCCCATTCAGTCGGTGGTGGGAATGTGGGTTGTCTTCCTTCCATTGGTCCAAGCCTGTATCGATCTTCCATTGACTGTATGCAACGATGTGAAATAGGACCAAGAGCACTGCACAAACGAAATGAGCAGTGCTGAGTGAAGTCAAGACCCACACATACCATTTCTTGGTGTAATGTACGTCATACTCACCCATTTTGTGATCTTTGGAATAGGAGCCATCGTAAAGGAAGGCCACAACAGAGGTGATGCCAATGGTCAGCAAGACAATGGCACTCCGCGCTGTGGCCATGACCTCCCCAGAGGCATTCAGTGGGAATGGCTTCTGGCTCAAATTGTACTGATGCTCCACAAATCCAATGTATTCATCCCGCACTTGCTCTGAAAAGTCTTGCAACTTTGCCTCAGGACCTGTTCTGTCCACGGAATTTGTGCAAGAGTTCTGCCAATCCTTGATCAATGACTGAGCTTTCAAAGTTCTGATGGCCTTGGGCACCAAGAAGAACAGCTTTTGTAACCTTTGTCCTCGGATGATCTCCACCCGACCAAAAAGGAAGTGAAGATACTTGCTGTGGTGCATCTTTGTGACTGCTTCATTAAAGCTGTCGTAAATCTTGGACTTTGAAGTTGCCCACTGATTGCGTGTATGCAGCACGAGATTGGCAGTTTGCCCACGATCTAGTGTTCCCTCAAACAAGCCGCGATTGCCAAACTCCGGTGATTGCTGAATACCCTCGAAGAGAGCCCAACAAAGAAAGCAAAGCTCTAGCGAATGCTCTTCCTGGGTCTCAAGTGGATAGTCAGTGGATTCCTTCTCTCCCTTGGTGAGTATGATCTGCTCAGCGGTGTCATTTTCAATGACTTCGTCGGCATCTTGCACCGGGCTGATGAAATGTATGGGATCACGGGATTCTGGAGAAAGGTTCCAATGATTGATCACCTTGTCACAGATGATCTTCGGGTTTAACTCTTCGACCATCCGCCGAATGGTTGTTCCTTTATGCTCCACCAGTTCCTCCGAAACCTCCCGGAAATTCGGGTCTTCGGGGTCGAGCTCCTCCTCCTCGAGCAAACTCATCAGAAATTTCAGCACCGAAATCTCACAGAGCCGCATGGATTCCAACAATTTCATAAAGGGTTCAAACAATTCTTCGTTGTCTTGCAATAGAGCTCGAAAGGTAAACTCATCGATGCGCTGTCGCATCCATAGCTGGTTTACATCAAGAAGGATTTCGCTTTCCAACAGCAACCGCTGATTTCCACGGTTGGGACCCTGAACAATTTCTGCTGCCGTGTCAAAGAGCTGCTTCAGCATTGAGTACTTGATCTCCGAACCTTTCATTGAAACTTGCCACTGCTGATCTGACTTCATCTGCTCAATGCTTTGCCTTGCCAGAGTGCAAATCCACTCCACCAAGTTCGTGGGATTTTGAAAGCTATTGCGATCCTGGTCATCGTCGTCATCATCCTCACTCTTCTGCAAGTATTCTGCCATGAGTGTTGCAAAGTCCTTCCCTTCGATGGACAGATCTTCGCCAACAAATGCTTGCAACGTGGAGTTGTGACCTTCACAAAGATTTTGCAGCTTCCGCAGCATTACACCGATGACTTGGACATCATCTTCCCCATGTTGCTCGTTGGAATGAAAATCTGAGAATTGATACGCCAAAGCCTTCTGCAAATTCAACTGAGGAAAATCAAACTGCTGAAAGGCAGCCTGAAGACTCAGGTCAGCATCCTCCAATAAATTGCAACCCAACTTCAGGGCCTCCAATCGAAGCCAAACATCAGGGTGGTACAGCATTTCAGGAACCAAACGCAGTGGATCCGTAGGCTCAACTTGCGCATCCTCAAAAAACCTCAGCAATCTCAGGCGAACTTTTCTCTTCAGATCCCGGTCGATGCTGAAAGGGCAGAAGAAAATGGCCTTTTCCACAACAAAGGACTTCAAGAACTGGTGACTTACCTGTTGTGAAGGCGTCCACCTTTCCCATTCCTCTTCGACATCTTCCTGTCGTGTGAATATTTCTTGCAAAATGTTCAGTAAGGATGCGCAGCAAGCTCTCGACAAAAGCATTTCCCCTGTGTCATCAAAGAGCTTCTCAAAGATATTCTCTTCGTCTTCTGTGACCAGCTTTGCTCCATCTTCAGAGAAGCTTAAGCGAGGCTGGTTTGTAAATGCAACTGACCTGACCACGTGGCAAATGCGCAGAATCCATGATCTCAAAGTGTCCATCCGCTCATCTTCCGGTTCTCGATAGAGAATGATGGGGACTTCAGAGTCAGTCATCTCATCAACAGAATGCTCGCTCAAGGTTTCAAAAACCCGTGTCAAATTTGGGAATGTCTGCTGGACCTGGAGTTCCCAATCCTTGCGATCAATGTCAAGCTTTGTGAGCAAGTGCTCCAGCATTACATAGCTGCAAGCTCTGTTCATCATGGCAACAACGTATTGGTGCTCTGCTTCCAATATCCTTTGAAGTTTCACATGATCAAGGCCAGACACTCCACCGCTCAAGCCAAAGCATTGCTCTTCTACAATATCCACCAAAATGTTTCGGTAGCGCGGCATGAACTCATGAATGACCATCCGGGAAATCTTCTTCTTCTCACTCATGGGTTCAAGAGCGCTCTGACTCTGATTCCCTGGCTCATTGCTGAGCGCATGATGTTGACTGCCAAGATGCACAACTTTCTGAATCACTTGCGAGTCAAAGCTCCGGGGACTTGTCACAGCAATGATTCTCGGATTGGCAACTGTGACCTTTGCTCCACGGGAATCGAATAAGCATCGGGATCTCATGGTGACAGTCTCCGCTCCAAGCACTTGAAGGGATAGTTTCTTGCGCCCCAGGACGTATGAGAAGTTTTCCAAGAAAATGATCTCAGAATGATTTGAAGAACCTTCCCCGCTTGAGGAAGATGTTCCTCTTTCAACCTCGACTTCAAAGTATACCTGGTTCATGGCCGTCATGGCCATGTCCTTATCACCGTCATGGGCTTGACTAGCATGGGAATTCTGAGCATTCGCCGCAAACAAGGCCTCTTTGATGTCTTGAGTCTCGATAGTCACATGAACTTCCATGAGAATGGTCATCAAGACGTTTTCTTCGAAAAAGAGTTTCATACCCAAGCTCCGCATCGATTCCAGCAAGGCTTCATGGACATTCCAACTCTTCTCATCCGTTCCGAAGAGCTCAAAGCTGGGATGCGTGAGTTGTTGTCTCCTCCAAAGGTTTACATCAATTCGAAGGTTCTGTGCCAGCTTCGCATCACCGAGTTCCACTAGCTCATACATGAAGTCCTTCAAGTCCTCTTCCTCTTTGGCTACCTTGGTTGACAAAGGCATCTGCAAGCCTCGTGGCATCACAAAGGCATCCGCTTGCGCCGCGAGCTCTTGGTGCCCAAAATGGCTGCGAAACGGCTTCGAGTGTTCTTGATCTGCAAGCTTCTCCTGAGCTGAAGTCTGCGCATGGCGGCCAACCCTTGCTGCAGTGACCTTCCAAAGCTCACCAAAGTCATCACCAGCTCCAGTAGAAGAAGCTCCAAATGCTCCAGAAGCTGAGGCTGAAAATCCAAATCCTGAAGCATCAGGAGAGGAGACATGATCTCCTTCTCTTTGGTCTCCCTGATCTCCTTCGTCAACTTCTTCGAAGACATCTTCCTTGAAAGCGCTTTGTTCTTGAGGCCACCAAGGACGTTGCAACTGAGCAGTGAGGAAACCTGTCACACCGGAGTCATGTGCTTCAGATGCCACAGACTTCAGGATGCTTTTGGTAATGGAAGTCTTTTCAGGTCCGATGCGTTGCAGCAGGTCATAGGCCCGAGTGCGCTGATCATTGTCACAAAGCCCAAGGTCGAGAATCTGCTGAATGCAAACGCACATCTCTTCATCGATCTGCCATTCACGATGACACCAATCTCGTTGATCAAAAAGGACTGTCCAAAGTTGTGTAAGGATGTCCGGACCATCTTGAAGATCTTCATCTTCTCGCCCTTGTTTTTCCTGACCTTCGGTCGAAGAACTTTGCGGTTCAAAGGTTCCATTCGTGACCATGTGTTCGAAATCTTGAGCCACTTTGTCAGCTCCTGGTGGCTGATCAGCTGGCCCTCCCAAAGCAAATTCAGTAGGTGCTGCGCCAGAGGCCAAGAAGTTTGTGGCCCACCAGCGCTTCCACACGTTCTGCTCATTGTATGCTTTTAGAACTTCCAACAGCAAAAGGAGCAAATGGTCTCGAATGAAATATGGCGTCAGTGCGAATGCGATTTGCGCATCGATAGCTTCGACCACAGGAGAAATACGAGGACTAAAGACATGCAGTTCTGGGAAGCGGCGAAGGTACTGAGTGAACCATTGAATCAACAAAAGGACAATATGGCTTGGCTTCTCAGGGATCAACCGGAGTCGTTGAGATCTTGCATCCCAACGATCATGTAGCATGTCTTCGATCTCATGTGGCTGCAACAAAATGCAAACCATTCTCAAATATGCATCTTGCACAACAAGGGGAATTTCTTGCTCAGAATCAGATGCCAGCCAGTAGACCACGTGGCGAAAATACCGTTGCCTGGCCATGCCGTACTGAGACTCTTGGTCATCATCGTCGTCCTCTTCACCACCGTCTTCCATCTCAGGCCGTTGACACTTTATGACTTCCCTGGCAAAATGTCTCAAAACTGTCCTGTTGGCACCAAAGGCTGAGCATTTCAACATCAGTTCAATGGATGCCAAGGCAAAAGTTGTTGGAAACATTCGCTGTGTTCCAAGTTCCAGCTTGCTCACTTGCCCCAGCGGATCCATGCGTTCCCCTGTCTCGCCATCTCGCATCTCCTGCATGTCCCCACGTGCAGCTGCGCTTCTCAGAGCTTGTCGTGCTTGATTTCTGAGCTCTAGTTGCTCCAAGTAGTCTTTGATTTTGTCCCGGTTGTCTTTCAGGTTGATCTTTGCACTTAGGAAGCCATCTTTGGCCATAGCGATGAAGGGGCTTTCAAGTCGAAAAACCGTATTCTCCTTTAAGAACTCCATGGCTACGATGTTCCCATTTTTTCGGCTTTCGATGTCCTTTCTGGACGTGACCACGGCATTGAGAACGCGAAGTGCATCAAGGGATACCATGGGTCGTGCAGTTAAGTTTTCCTTCAACACTTCCATCATTTCTCGGACAAAGGATGGTGTCACATGCTCGGAAGCATCGGGATTCTTGAGGTATACATTGACCAGGAGTCCGGAGATGCCCATGTCTTCATATGCTAAGGATTTCACCAGAAATCGAAAGACATCGGATCTCAAGAAGATCTTGCGATACATTGGGAGCACAGCAGTGAAGGTTTGTAGAAATCTCACTGCGATGTCAAAGGCACTGTCTTTGTGTTGCAAAACCTTTTCAGCCATCATCGAGTCGCGTAGAGGTGCCGAACTTCTTAGAAAGCTCAGGACCCGAAGGGCCAGAAGCTCCACACGGTGATATTTCAACAAATGCCCATCTCCTTGCTTGCAAACCGAAATGAAATGCCGAAAGAGCTTCCCCAGTTGTGCTTTCTCATCTCTCACAGGATAGAGTTGGGTGAGGCGAAGTCGCAAAGTGATCTCAGGATCTTGCTCCGGTGTCAATTGAGAAGGGTCTTCCTCGTTGAAGCACACAAACAACTGCGTTGCCCCATACACCATGTCCTCGTGAATGTCAATCGAAACAAGTCCTGTATCCTTCTTTTCACCATTGTCTCCGTCCTTCATAAGGGCGTTCCATTCCACTCCAACCATTCGCCGCAAGTGGGTGGTGGTATTGGTGTAAAAGGAATTGAAGGCTTTCTGGGATGCCACGTGCGCACCACGGACGAATTGAGCAGATTCAATGAACGCTTGCGTCAAAGCCACGTTCACGCACCACGTGGTCGACTTCTTTGGTACAACGGGCAATTTGAAGGCTTTCAACTTTTCCAGGTATTCACTTCTGAAGTCTGCGCCAGATGAGGAGGCGCACGAGTTCCAGCCATTGTAGATCATCGCTGTTTCATCATCTGGGCTCTTGATGCAGTAGATATCCCTCAAAACATCGTACATAATGTCAACCACCAAGGAACTTTCATCCAGTTTTGTGTCTTTCTGCGAAATCAAAATGCCCTTGCCACGCCTAGGCCTGCCTTGGTTGAATTTCACCTGTTGCTGTAGAGCGCCCAGGACCACACAAGGCACTGAACTTTCTTCGACCTCTCTGTCAATGCAGGCGGTCCGAAAACCATCCACATAAATGAAGAGCTTGGGAGTTGCACCTGTGTAGTCAAGCTCCAGGCCAACACAGCTGCCTTGTTGAAAACCTCCAAAACTATCATTGATAGCCTGGCCCCGAATATACAGCTGCCCGAGCTCATCACAGCCAAAAAATTCGCTAGGAGGTTTGAAGCGGTTCATTTTCACATCATCACTGTCCTCTTTCGGGGGCACAAAATGAGAGCTGAGAACGCCAATGAAAAGAGGGCAATGCCTGCTTTCCTCTGCATCCTGCATATCCCTCTTTGGCAAGCTTTTGACATCGAAATCAAAATTCAGAATTCGCGCATCCCCTTGCAGATTTGTTGCAGCCATTCGAACCACTTGCTGATGTAGCTGGTGCTTGTCCGCATACTCAATGAGACGATCTCCTCTGTCTTTGATATCAATGTAGCTACTTTGGGCATCGTCTTCATTCCAATCGTTGTTTTCAAACTGGTGGGCATAGTGCTCAAGGCCTTCCCTTTCAGCAAAGATCTGCTGCTCCTTCAAGTCCTTTTCCATCTGATTGATGTGATCAATCACTCGGTCTGTCTCCTTCACCCAACTTTCCAGGACATTGAAAATGTTCTTCAAACAAATGAAGAAATTAGATAAGATTTATTCATGTTGGCGTCAACGACGTAAACACATAAAGACACAGAGCGATGGCCTCAAACCCAAAAGCGATGGCCTCCAACCTAATAGCGATGGTCTCCAACCAAATAGCGATGGTCTCCAACCTAAGAGCAATGGCCTCATACCTCATAATAAGGATGGCCTCCAACCTAATAGCGATGGCCTCCAACCTGATAGGCATGGCCTCCAACCCAATAGCGATGGCCTCCAACCTAATAGCGATGGCCTCCAACCTAAGAGCCATGGCCTCCAACCTAATAGCGATGGCCTCCAACCTGAAAGCGATGGCCTCCAACCTAAAGCGATGGTCTCCAACCTCTTGGCGGTGGCCTCCAACCTAATTAATAGCGACGGCCTCCAACCTCATGGCGATGGAATCCAACCTAAATTCGATGGCCTCCAACCTCATGGCGATGGCCTCCAACCTAAAAGCGATGGCCTCCAACCTCATGGCGATGGCCTCCGACCTTATGGCGATGGCCTCCAACCTGATAGCGATGGCCTCCAACCTGATAGCGATGGCCTCCAACCTGATAGCGATGGCATCCAACCTAATACCTATGGCCTCCAACCTAAAAGCGATGGCCTCCAACCTCATTGCAATGGCCTCCAACCCAATAGCGTTGGCATCAAACCTAATACCGATGGACTCCAACCTCATGGCAATGGCCTCCAACCTAAAAGCGGTGGCCTCCAACCTGAAGGCGATGGCCTCCAATCTAAAAGCGATAGCCTCCAACCTAAACTCCAAGCTCATCGCAAAGGCCTCCAACCTAAAAGCGATGGCCTCCAACCTCATGGCGATGGCCTCCAACCTAAAAGCGATGGTCTCCAACCTTATAGCAATGGCCTGCAACCTAAAAGCGATGGTCTCCAACCTCATGGCAATGGCCTCCAACCTAAAAGCGATGGTCTCCAACCTCATAGCAATGGCATCCAACCTAAAAGCGCTGGTCTCCAACCTCATGGCGATGGCCTCCAACCTAAAAGCGATGGCCTCCAACCTCATAGCAATGGCCTCCAACCTAAAAGCGATGGTCTCCAACCTCATGGCAATGGCCTCCAACCTAAAAGCGATGGCCTCCAACCTAAAAGCGATGGCCTTCAACCTAAAAGCGATGGTCTCCAACCTCATGGCAATGGCCTCCAACCT